GTAGTAATACGTAATAACTAATAGTACTAGTATATAATTATTACGTAATTACTATTATATATATATATATATATATATATATATATATATATATATATATATATCGATGTGGAGATGATCAATTAGACAATTTTTATACATCTCGAAGTGGAGATGATGATCAATTATACGGTTTTCCAACATCAAAACCACCATTTTTAGAGAATTTTAGAGGTGCACCTTAATTCTACATTTTAAGGTTGCAACCTTATATAAACATTTTTCAAGAAAAAATGATGTAGAAGTATGAATAATAAGGGATTTTGCACTATAAAACCGTTTATTTTTAGATTAAAGAGGTCACAATTAATCCTAACCGTCAAAGGTGAAATGGACGCTTTAGAGCACGTTACAAAGTAAAAAAAAAAAAAGGTTTTGAGCTTATAAACAACCTCGTTGTCCAAAAGGAGATCACAAAGAACAATAAAGATTGTAGGTCGTTTTAAAATACTTAAATATCGAATGGTGCGATAATTTATTTTTATCTCTAATTACAAAGTATTAAACTAAAAAAATAGCTCAAATGAAGTATATTTATTAGTGTATAAAAGTATTGAAAATAGACCGTTCAAATAATGTATTGCAAAATGTAATATATATATATAGTGTTTGAATTTTAGTTTTTTTTTAACATATCAAAATCATTTGAAATTTTAGGTGTGTTCTTCTCATTAAAACGCACCTAATAAAAATATAAAAAAATTATCTGTGAAAATAAAAAATGACTAAAATAGCCTTTTGGGGGAATTTTGACCAATTTATTTCATGCAAAATATTTTTTTGATATTTTTCGAAGATTCACCTATTTTTTATGAACACACACTTAAAACTTCAAGTGATTTAGATTTGTAAAAAAAACTAAAATTCAAATACTACTAGACATTCATGATCGTCAGATAGGTCCATATTCAATCTGGATCGTTGGATTCATATGTTCATATGAACTAGTGGGTTAATTACATCATTTTCCATATATATATATATATATACACGGAAAATTACTAATAAAAAAAAGCATAGGGACTTTGATGTTAGCCTGTAGAACATGATGATCCCGCTTACTTGTGTTCAGAGCCTTCTTTGTGACGAGTTCATGAACAGATCGATTGAGTTTCCTTACATCAAGGATCCATGCCATTCGCCGGGTCTTGACAGCCGTTCATTTTTTAGATCACGAAAAAGAGTGCCCGTTATATGAATGAAGTTAAGCTTTCGAGGGTGCGGATTGTATAGAGCCTAGGCTCTAAACAATCAAATTAAAGCTATACCTTCAAATAGTATGGAGAAATGTGGTTTTAATATTGGAAATATTTGTGAGTCAAGCTTTCGAGGGTGCGGATTGTATAGAGCCTAGGCTCTAAACAATCAAATTAAAGCTACCTTCAAATAGTATCGAGAAATGTGGTTTTAATAATGGAAATATTTGTGATAGCCTTAAAATATATATTCATATTTATTTATGAAGTTTAAAGCTTCAAAAATAATATATATCGACTATGAAAACTTGAAAATATTGAAAATTGACGGTCCAAAAATGTGTTACAAAATACATTATTTACAAAACTTGAAATCCATGTTTTTCTTATGTCCATTCATATTGATGTCAAGATGATGGATTTGAAGATATTTGGACATCAAAACAACTTCCGTAGTGAAATTTTTTATGTAGGCTCAAATTTGATTGTTTAGAGCCTCGGCTCTATATAAATTTTTTGGAGGTTTTGAATTCTTTTACCAAGAGAGAGAAATAGCAATTTCATGAGAGAGATGGAGAAAGAAAGAGAGAAATAGCAATTTCGTAGAGAGAGATGGAGTGATAATTTCCTAGTGTTTTAAAGAGATGAATGTGGGATTGTAGAGAGAGAAATAGCAATTTCGTAGAGAGATATAGAGCACTTATAGGTTACACCTCTCTTGAGAGAAGGACATGATCGATCGCTTTTATACGATGTAATAATTGGAAACCCTAAATTGTAAACTTTGACACAGAAAGCAAACGAATGAGAAAACTACCTTCTTCTTAAGAAGATAAAGACGTGGGAGATGGAAACAAGTAAAATGCCATGGGAGCACTTCTCAACAAAAAAAAATTAAGAGTACTTTACATACAGCCCGTAAAAAAATAAGCAAAATACAAAATCTTCCGTTTATATCCCAAAATTTAAAAAAAAAAAAAAAAAGTTGGTTAATGCACTTTTTTTATTTTTTTTCTAAATTACCCTTAAATTTTTATTTATTTATTTTTCTTTAGTAGGGCAGTATCTCAAATTTTAGAGGAAGTGCATAGGTAGTTCGATGTTGGCATCCTTGGATGGTTTGGAATTCCACATATCAAAAAAACGAAAGGCGGTCAGAGGATGGCATCCTCGGACCGGAAATGAAGTTCACAAGGAGGTTCGAGGATGCCAACCTCGGGCTACTGAAGTTCCAAGCAGTTTGAGTATGTGAACCTCGAACCGCATTATGCACATTACATCAGGAGGCGGTTTGAGGTTGGCGTCCTCCGACTAGAAATGAAGTTCACAAGGAGGTCCGACGATGCTAACCTCAGACCGCTATTTTTTCAAAGAAAGTATTATCAGTCCGAGGATTCCATATTGAAAAAGAATAAAAAAAACAAAAAAAAGTCAAATTCTTGTCCGAGGATGCTAACCTTTGACCAAGGTGCAATTTTTTTTTTAAAAAAAGAAAAATCACGCATTAACCGACTTCTTTGTAATTTTAGACTATAGATGGAGTATTTTGTATTTTCCATTTTTTTTTAAAGACTAAACATAAATTTCTCGAGAATTAAAAGAACTATATTACCCCTTGGGCGAACCACCCAAACAATTATAGAAAATACAATATACTACTATCTCTCTTGTGCTTAGAAGCTTGATTTGATCTCCATTGTCATCTGGCATCGGGTTTTTTAGCTCTTTTAAAGGCCCTGAACCTCAAGGGTTTTTTTGCTCTCTTTATTTCTTTCTCTGCAATTCAGTCTGGTTTTCTCACTCTTTCTCTGCAATTTGCTATGGTTTTTCTCTCTCTCCCTCTCCTGCAATTTGCTATGGTTTTTGCTCTCTCTGCAATTCGCCGTGGTTTTCCCCCTCTCTCTCAAGAATTTCCCTAGTTTCCGTTCTCTAGGTATTCTCTAGTTTCTCTCTCTAGGAATCCTTCGCACCCTGTATCTCTTCGCGTTTACAATTTCTCTATCGTCTGCGGATTTCTCTGATCTCTCTCTACTCTTAGAATTGTTCTGGTTCCTCTCTCCATCAATCTATTGCTTTCTGTTCCCTCTCTCTCTCCATCCAATTTCTCTGTTGTCTCTTTCATTCACTCTGTTTTCTGATCTCTCTCTCTCTAAAATCTCTCCATGAAACGGCCGGACGACCTGGACAACTCTCTTCCATGAATCAGTAAACAGTTACTTGTCTCTCTCACAGGTGTAGCGCTCACATGAATCAGTAAAGTTTCAGTGACCAAAACTACCCATATGATTATCCATACCTGAAAGAAAGTACCCCTCCATATTAATTACCATCACCTCCTTATCTATTTTTTATTTTCAAATTGTTTATACGAGTTCCCTGTTTTACTTTTCTTCAAGATCATTCAACTAAAATGTTTCAATTAATTAAAATATTTTAATTACAATATTATACCTCCTTATTTATTTTTAATTTTCAGATTGTTTATACAAGTTATTAATTTTATTCGTTTATTCAAAATCTAGATCATTCAACTAAAATGTTTCAATTACAACATTATATAAGGTAAATTAGTTTATGTGGGTTGGCCTGCATAAAACCTATGCTATCCAACTCAGTTGGAAACTTGGTCGCATGAAAATCGTATTTTTTATATGCGTTTTACCATTTAAGTAATTTATATTTTTAATAAGCACCAGTGTTTTGGAGAAGAACTAAATATTAATTGATTTTATATTTAATCAAGGGTCATATTTTATTTATATAATATTATTAAGCTACAATTAAAAGGTGGATATGTATAGTAAAAATAATGAGGGATCTCAATGAGAGAAGATATTATATGAAGTCCTAAATTTAGGTTATATTTATAGAAAGAGGTAACTACAGTGATTTAGAATCAGATTCTAGAGTTTCTTGTCTACCGAACTAGCCGTGGCTCACGAGATCATTGCAAAAGGGATGGGTGTTCATGGGTTGTCTGACGGTGTAGTTTGGTGATTGTCTTTGATGGTTCTTGGTGTGGTTTTCTTGGGCTCTTTCAAAGTTTGTAATGTTGGATCAGTCGAGGATGGAGTTAGGATATATTCTACAGTTAAATCGATTCATCTTTGCAGCAGTGAGTAGGTTTGTATTTTTCGATTTCTTCCTCTCTTATTACTATTGTAATCTTAGAGCTCTGCTCTTTTATCTAATGACAATTTTTTTTATTGATGAACACAAAAGAGTATATGCTATTGCCAAGGATGATTATGTATGGAAAGAGGTAATTACAAATAGAAGAATTGCCAAATGTTTGGAAACCTGGGCTGGCTTGGGTCTATCGAAATTCTCTGTCTCAAACTCCATATGGGTCTATAGGTGGCCGGTCCGGACACGTTGCCCCGCTCAGGAGAACTTGTTCCTGGGCCACAAAAATTGACCGTAGGCTAAGCCATGCTGCGGCAAGGGCAATGGCTATAGCCTAAATTACGGTTCTCTAGGGATAGGCTGGTTGGTATTTTCGTTTTTTGAAAACTATATGTGGGTATTTCAAAATAAAGATAATATGGTTTTTTTGTAGTTTTTTTAAGCTGTATTTTATAGAGAGAGATAATAACGAGATTTTAATCCACATAGGCATTGTCATTCCTTACACTGTAAGTACAAATGTGAGAGTGACGGTGCATGTGCATTAGCACAACGACTCACTTGAAAAGTGTTGATGGGGTACTTGATGATGCACTCTGCACTAAAGAGTATTGAAGTTTTTTAAAGTCAAGCCAAGCGCCCGTCCCCAAGGAACCATGTTTTTTAGGGCCAAGCCAAGTGCCCATCCCCAAGGGTCGTAATAGGTCGGGTCGTCCAAACCCGTACCCGAACCTGGACCCAATGTAACCAAACTTTGATTTGGACCCAAAAAAAATATAATGTAGGACCCGGACCGGACCTAAAAACTAAAATATCTATATATTTTAATATATTTTCATAAATTAGGAAATATGGGACTTGGACCCAAACCTAAATTGTGTTCAGGTCCAAATCATGAACTCAAATCCGACCCGCCGGGTTCAAATATTGGACCCATACTTGAATTGAGTCTAGCTGCCGAGTCCTAAATCAGATCGAGGTCTATTGACACCCCTAATCCCAACCTTGGTTCTCGTACAGATGGATCCCCGGAATGATGGTTCGCAAGGACCCAGCTTGTCCTCACGCGTGCCCTAATTACAACTCTCTTGGGTTCTTCTAGAAGTCTTGATGTACTAATCTGGCACAATCTAATTAAAAATTTGTATTTAATAACGATTTAAGCGATATTAGGCCACACTTCTCTTCCTAAAACTAGGGGAAGTTAGCCTAGTAAAAAGAAAAAACTTCTAGAAGCTTCTAAAAGTCCTAGAGTGCTAAACTAGTAATGGTGCAGTTTAGTGAGATGTGTTCAACGAATTTATCATATTTCTTATTAATAACAAAATAAATAAGGGAAATTATCATAAATATATTTTAATTTTCGAAAAACTTCTAAACAATTCTAAAAGTCCTATAGTGCTAAACTAGTAACTAGTAATGGTGCAGTTTAATGAGACGTGTTCAACGAATTTACCATATTTATCTTATTAATATCAAAATAAATCATAATTATAAGAAAAATTATCACAAATATATCTTCATATTTGTCTATTTAAAAAACCTCAACTTTTATCGTGAAGCACAATTACGACATTTTAAATACGTAAAAACTAACTCATATTATACGGTACCATAAAAAATTTAAATACCGTAAAACTAACCCATGTTATAGAGCACTCGAAATGCCGTAAACTCGTTGCTCCCTCTATTTATATTTCTCTTTCATCTCTATGATTATTTTTATGGTTACTCTTATTTCTCTCTAATTGTTTTTAATATTTATCTCTTATTTCTCTATCTTTTTTATATATATATATATTATTTTTCACTCTAACTCTCTTTCTCTCTCTAAGTAGATTTGTATAACAACGTGAGCGTACCTTACCCTCTCATATAAAACTCCCGTCAACCCAGAAAATTAGAAGAACTATATAAACAACGTATCCATGATCCCTAATTTGAAGTTTATTTTAGAGCGTGTAATCTTCTAGAACTAGCGATCTATATATGGTTCTTTGATTTTCACTCACTTCCATGATCCCTAATTATAAGTTTATTTTAGAGCGTGTGATCTTATAGAACTAGTGATCTATATTTGGTTCTTTGATTTTCACCCACTTTCACGAGATTTATGCTTTGTTATGTGAACTTTAGTTAGTTCATAGATGCAAATTCATCCAAATAATTAACAAAGTTTGTGATTTGATTAGAATGAATTTAATTTAATAAATTTTGGATTTTAATTACCCAAAAAATAAATTTTGAATTTATTATTAGCATAATAAAACTCGCCTAAATAATTTGTCGTTGACATACCATATTTATTTCGAAAGTGACGTATTTATATTTCATTCGAAAGTGACGTATTTACATTTCATTGAGATTTTTTTGGGGTTAAAATTGTTGTTTTCGAAAAAAAATATATTCCGACTTTAAATAAATTTAAATATTAATGTATTTTTAGCGAATTATTATTTATTTATTTATTTTCTTAATTCGCTTTTTTATATTCACTCGTGCACTATAAATACGGATCAGTCTTCCAGGTTTCATTCCCACTGCAAAAGCCGCGCGCGCCATTCAGTTGGAGAACGCGATTCTGTTGGAGAGAGAGAAACACCGTAGAGAGTGTTGGAGAGAGAGAAACACCCTAGAGAGAAGAAAAATCGAGTTAAGAGAGAGAGAGTTGGAGAGAGAGAAACACCCTAGAGAGAGAGGAAAAATCGAGAAAGAAACATACCAGAGAAATCCCTGAAGAGAAAAGAGAAATAAAAATCATAGAGAGAGATAGAACATCAAATGCGAGAGAAAGAGAGTTGTTGAGAGAGGGATAGAGAGAGGAGGAATGCCATTTCCATTCCTTAGTCGAGCAAGAAATGGAGTAAGCTTTTGAGCCAGAGAAAAAAAGATAAAAAATACAGGCTTAAGACCTCGTGTTTCAGAGATCTTTAACGCAAAGACCCTCCACACTTCAGCCCTACTGAAGCCAAAAAACAGAGGAGCTGCAGTGCAGCTCTAATGGCAGCCTCAAATGGAAGCGAATGGTTTGAGGTGGACATGGATAGTCACACCGAGCACTTCTCCAGGTCCTCCAACGCTGCAGCAGTTGCAGAGGAGGAAGAGGAGCTCCTTTGGGCTGCTATTGAAAGGCTTCCTTCTCAGAAACGCTCGAATTTTGCGATCTTGAAAAGGAGTGCCTCCGATAACCCAGGGAACAGCCACGGAGTCCTCCCAACGACCGTTGATGTAAGGAAGCTGAGTCGATCTGGCCGTGAACTCGTCGTCAAGAAGGCTCTGAACACAACCGAGCAAGATAACTATAACCTTTTGGCAAGCATCAAAACTCGGCTTGACAGGTATTTCCTTATTTATTCATTTTATTTCCTTATTTGCTTTGAATTTTTTTAATTATTTTTATTGAAATTATGCTTTTCTATTCTATTTGATTCTGCATTTATTTTTTTGTTTTTGATGTAGTGGACTAAAAATCAATATTGTGAAATAATTCTGTTTTTAACATTCTTAGAAAGAAATTCCCATTTCTAAGTTTGGAGAAATCGGCTATTAAATTGTAATTATGTTTATTGAAATTACAATTTTATGTTCTATTTGATTCTGCATTTATTTATTTATTTATTTTTGTTGTACTTTGGAGAAATCAGCAATTAATTTTTAATTATGTTTATTGAAATTACGCTTTTCTGTTCTTTTTGCTTCTGCATTTATTTTTTTGTTTTTGTTGTAGAGGACTAAAAATAATATTCTGAAATAATTATGTTTTTTGTCATTCTTGGAAAGAAACCCCCATTTCTAAGTATGGAGAAATCAGCTATTAAATATCAGTTTGGAGTTTGGAGTTATCAGCTATTAATTTTTCAAGATATCAAATATCAGTTTGGAGATATCAGTTATTAATTTTTCAAGAAATCAAATATCCTCTAGTTTTCACTTAGAAAGTTGGTTGAAAATTCTTGATCAATATTTTAGAGTGAAGATGGCTTCAAATGAATCCTATGCTTAATTGAAAATTGATTGAAATTCTTGATAAATATTTTAGAGTGAAGATGGTTTCAAATGAATCCTATGCTTAGATTTTGCTCAGTTTTATTTGTCTTTGAGTTTTTAATTTGATCCTTTTCGTTTTTTTACCGAAAATTTGATCCTTTTCCTTTTTTACCGTAAATCTATTTGCGTTTGCTTAATTTTTTTGATGAATTGTGATGAAGATTTAGGAAGTAATAATGACGGTGTATATAGCCCTGTATTGAATAATAAAATGGATTTTTTTTATTTTTAAAAAGATGAATTGATTTGGATTCTTGTATTTTAAATTCAATTTTCTAAATTTCAAAATTTAGAGATAAACATAAAAAATAATTCATCATTTTCTGAAATTTTCAATTCCTCTGATAGACGAAAATTTCAAAATTCCTGTATTTTTAAATTCTATCTTCTAAAATAGAAAAACAAGAGATAGAATTTTAAAAAATAGGGAAACTAGAGATAAAATTAGAGAGATGAAAGGGAAATCTTTTAAAATAGAGAAAGAAGAGATGAACATAAAAAGAATTAGAGAGAGGAAAGGGATGAAAAGGAATCTTTTAAAATAGAGAAAGAAGAGATAAAAATAAAAAAAAATTAGAGAGATGAAAGGGATGAAAAGAAGTCTTTTAAAATAGAGAAAGACGAGATAAAAAAAAAAATTAGAGAGAAAAAAGAGATAACTTAATACTTAAATCTTAATACTTCAATTTAAATGATATGTATTTCTTAATATAAAATTGAATATTTGAATTTTCATTTACACCGATATCCTAATACTATGCGTATACTACTCTCTAATTAGTTTTACTTTACAATAAACAATAAATAATACTATATAAATATATAAATAACTTGAAATTATAATAATAAAATAATAAATTAAGAATTTAATTTTAGTAAAATAATCAAAATATGATATTAATATTTCATGATAACGAAGGGGGAATCTTCTCAAATAGAAAAGAGATAAACATAAAAAAATTAAAGAGAGATAAATATAAACCAAAATGGAATATTTTAAAATAGAGAGAAGATATAAACATAAAAATAATTAGACAGATAAAGAAAAGATCAAAGAAATAAATATAAACGAAGATGGAGTTCTAAAATAGAGAAATAAGAGACAAAAATAAAAAGAATTAGAGAGATGAAAGAGAGAAATATAACAAAAAAAAATATTCTAAAACAGAGAAAGGAAGATAAACATAACAAAATAGATAAACAACTAAAGAGATAAATATAAACGAAAAGGGTTTATGGTATTTGTTATATAAATATTTGGGTTAGTTTTAACCGTAATTGTGGTAACATGAATAGGTTTTTTGACGTTTTCTAATATTGAAGAGCGAAGTTTATGAAAATTGAGGGTTTTTTTTTTTCTAAATAGACAAAAGTCAAGGTAAATTGGTGATAATTTCCTTATAAACTATCACATTACAAGAACAAAATAAGTACTTCTGATGGGAAAGTATTTCTGTTGGAAAAATACCATTTGCCTTTGACACAGCAGCGAAACTTTACATTATATCAAGTATTTCGCTATTATCCCATAGTATGTAAATATTGGAACTAAAAAATTTGTATTTCGGTATTATCCCGTATTATGTAAGAGTATTGGAACTAAAAACTTTTATCGATATTCTATCTTTTACGTTTATATTTACTTGTTTACATTTAATTCTTTTTTCCAAAATACACCATGAAGGTTAGATGCTAGTATTAAACGGGCATTCTTTGTGTACCAACAGATTAGCCTAGATGACACAGATGTTCCGTGTTGTAGATGTAGACTGTTCTGAGCATCGAGAGTTGCTGAAACCGATTGGGAACCATTAGTTCTGAACATCTAAACCATTACTTTCAATAGTTGATAGAGACGCCGGTTTGATCTCTAGTTTAAAAGGGCCATTTTGAAAACAAAAGAAAAAAGAGACATAAAAAAGCAAATATAAGATATGAGGACGTTTTTTTTACTCGCTAATTATAAGTGATATCAGTGTAAATTGCATTTTATTCTGTACCAAAATAAAAATGGCATTAATGTCCCGGTGAGGGCAAGGAATCCGGGCTGTTTTGGTCATTCCCATCAAATTAATGGCTGGTCACGCGTTATCTCCCCTGAAAACTAGGGTCAGTTTCAATTTTCATTTTCAGAAAAAAATTAGAAATCACAGGGGCTCCTAATTATTGAATGTCGCGTTATCTCCCCTGAAAACTAGGGTCAGTTTCAATTTTCATTTTCAGAAAAAAATTAGAAATCACAGGGGCTCCTATTTATTGAATGTCGCGTTATCTCCCCTGAAAACTAGGGTCAGTTTCAATTTTCATTTTCAGAAAAAAATTAGAAATCACAGGGGCTCCTAATTATTAAATGTGGATTCCTTTTCTGGCATTCATTAATCAGATATTTCTAAAATGAAATTTAGAATAAAAAGGGCCTTTTGACTTCTAACCATTCGAAATTCTTTTAGGTCCTTCTAAAAGGACAGACAACAAATTATTCCCTTAAAAAGTAATAGAAATTCTTCAGGAAAATATAGAACCCACTGGAGTGATTCATTAATAATTCCCTTTAAAAAAGGACAAATTCTATAGAAACATATATAACCCACAGGTCTACTATTAAGGGCTTGTTTGATTCAATCAGTTTCTAAATAACGGGCACTCTGTTCTTTATAACGGCAGAATATGTTAAATGAGAATGATGCTAGTTTCTAAATAACGGGCATCCTGTCCTTTGTAACGGGTGCTTTCACCTTCAATCCCATAAAGCGTGATCCAACGTTTGGTGTTAATATCATGTGAGCCCACCTGCTGTGCATCATCATCTGCAATGGTGTGGGAATTGACAGCTGAGATGCAGTGGACGTACTGAGGTTAAAAACTGAACATCACTGAAACAGCACAGGCCGTTAATTGATAAACAAGACCTTTTTTTCTAAATAACGGGCGGGCCTGGTGTCCTCTGTAACGGGAGCCTCCACCTTCAATCCTATCAAGAGTGGAGATCTGAATTGTTTATGGAGCCACACTAATTTAATGAGTGGCCCACTTTCGGTGCATCTACAAGAATTGATGGCGCAGATGCGGTGACGCATGTAACCGCGACATGAGATCATCCCCTGCTAATCCTATAGGATTTGCATGGCACGGCTTTCTTTTTATGTTAGGGCTTGGGAGCCTCCATCGTTTTATTGGAGATTAGGGATATGAGTAACAATGATGCACATATACCCATAGTTATTAAGAATGGATAGGACTGGCCAAGTTTGACAGGTTGGACCACCAAAATGTGCCTTAAATAGTTTGCTCAAGAATAAAAACTAAGACCAATCAGACATATTTGGACAACCTTTTTTTATATATTATTTTTCATATTTTTAAACTGACTATTCATAGTTTTAAATTTAGTTCAACCAGTTCGATCAATAGTTAAATTGGTTTTGATTGCATTGTACCATTCACTAATAGCAAGTCATTTTACCTATTATATGCACTTGCCCTCATAGTTTATACTTTATACCATTTTAGGACAAATATTCTTTTTATCTTATTGTTTACAAAGAACCAAATACTTTTAAGCCCCGTAAAAGAGCATCGTATTTCTTAGTCCTGGCCTCATTTCATATGGGATAGTTAGAAAGGCATTTGTGCTAACAATGTTATAGCAAGTAAGGGTTTGTTTAGAGTTAACAACCCTACAAAATACAAAAAAGTTAATATTATAGTGAATTGTGATGGGTGTATTTATTGAAAAACTCATTATTTTATTTTTTTTGTTTAAAAAATTATTTTAATAGGTAACATAATCATTAAATAAGGACAAATTCATTTTTTTACAAAAATACAGTGATATTTTGGAAGTTAGTATCTTGATATTTTATTTATAGAGTACATTTATCTTTAAGTAAGAATTTTAGCTTTACCCCTTGTGAAAATGATTAAAGTACACATTGTCTTTTACTAATATTTATACAAACACCCTTATTAGATAAACAAGATATTTAAAAAGCAACTTTTTTAAAAAACGACACTTCAGGTTTAATAAATCCACTCATTACAACTCGCTCTAACATTAACTTTTGTAATTTGAAAAGTTGTGAATTATAAATTATCTCAATAAATGATTATTCTCGTTATGCGATGTCATGAGCTCACCAACCATATACCCAATTGCTAATGAATACATTTTGATTTAACTGCAGAGCTAAAATTGCATTAAAACAGGGTTCACGTGAGTTTTTTTTACCAACAACAAGCATGCAAGTGCCATAAAGCACTATTATTGAATGTGTTGATATAATAATAATAATAATAATTGATTTGTCCAACTAAGAATCTAAAATTTACAACAACATTGGCCGCCATAAAAAATTATCTAAGCTCAACCCATCAAACCGGTGTTCAAAATGTGTGGCTTCGACCTCGGACTTGATAAGGTCCCAATTTTGAGTCGGCCAGAGAACCTATCGAGTTTGAGGCTCGACACAGTTGATTTTGTATGAAAATAAAAAGGATCCTAGGTTCACTAGCCCATTTTTGGGAGACTTGTATGTATATTATTATTATTTTTTGAGCTGGCCAGGCGATTCCAACTCAGCTCAGTGATTTTCAAATTATTAAGTCACACTATCATTTTATAATGACATTAAAATCTGTGAAAGCGTGATCGATGATAATGAGAGCCACATTTATATGGGATTGTATTTTGGACTTCTTCGTATCTAAATAATTGTACTGGATTTGTGCCAAGTTAATGACATATTTCTAGCCACTCGATTTCACATCTAATAATCAATATTAAATTGACTTTTTTATACAAAAAATAAATGATTTTATTGTATATGTTTTCCATTTATATAACTTGTAATGAACTTAAATTAAGTAGGATTTTGGGCTTTGGGATCTACTTTTTATTCTCTTTAGCCATGTATAACTTGTAATGAACTTAAATATTGATGTATAACTCGATGGCATGTGTTACATAACGTTTTCAGATGGAAAAATATATAATGAAGCGTACGAGTACCCTCAAAGTTCAAAAATACCATGCGAGTATAGTCTGCACAGTGAATGGATGGATATGTCACCCCAACAAAGTTGATGTGACCCAAATGGTAAAACGGCCTTTGTTTATGAACAAATTCCTACAGTTTCAGGAAATTTCCGAAATGCGATAATAACTTTTAACTCTTTGACAGTCGCGTACCATTTTCTCCACGTAAAATGGTTACTGATGATGTATGTGCTATGTTGTAACTGCTTTGATATTAATAAATTCTGAATTTCGTCAAAAAAAAAAATTTAGACGTAGATTATTGCCATCTTATTACGGTCAGCATTGGACATTCTTTTTCATTGGGCTACCAGATCATTTTTTTTAATAATTCAGTAGGTAAAACAAATCCCACTATTATTATTATTATTATTATTATTATTATTATTATTTTTAATAAGAGAGTTAGCTTTTTCGAGATTGAAAACCACAGCCTAGTGACTAAGCATGGGCTGCTACCACGAGACCGTAACTTCTTTTACATAAAGTTCACAAACATTCGAATTTGTCGGTCGGTGTAAACTTGTCTCAATTAGGGCTAAGGTGGAAGGTCCGGGCCTAAGGTCCGAAGGCCACAAAAACCTGGGCGAGGCTTCTTTGGCCAAATACAGGTCCGGCCTTCTATTCCTATAAGATCCAGGGCCTGGCGCAGCCCACCTCGCCCCACCACCGCAGCAATGTAAGGGACGTGCCGGGACGGACGGGCCTGGCCCAGCCCACCTCGCCCCACCCACCCCAGCACTGTAAGAGACGGGACGGGACGGGACGGGAAGGGCGGGGCGGGGCTTGGGCAAACCCGTTGACGCTGAGGATTTTACCTTTCAAAAAAATTTGTAAGTTTTAGGTGCATCTTTTGGCAGAGTTGGTTTGGTTGCTCCAAAAGTGGAAGTGAGATTTGAGAACCTGAACGTGTCAGCAAATGTTCATGTGGGTGGAAGAGCTTTACCTACTCTCGTAAACAGCATCCGAGATTCAGTGGAGGTATGTCTATATACCTGTCAATTAACCCAAACTATATTTCACGCTCTGTTATGGCATCTATATATGTTGCTTAAATTCCCTCCTATGCTAACCAAAGGGTGTGCATTGATTGATGTAGCAATGCCTCACTGCTTTGAGACTGCTTCCATCTCAGAAACACTCTTTGACCATCCTCGACAATGTCAGTGGCATTGTGAAGCCACGGAGGTAGGCCATGGAATGGACTCTTCACATCCTGTGTGTGTATGTATGTGTAAAATTCCAGCTTTATGCTCACATGACTTATGAAATATGGCAGGATGACCCTGCTCTTGGGGCCTCCCGCTTCTGGGAAATCGACATTGTTGATGGCTCTTGCTGGGAAATTGGACAAGACCTTAAAGGTTGGTAACTTTAAAATTTTTATCCTTGGTAATGGAACCATTAAAGCTAATGCCATTATGAAAGAAGGAACTTGCTGGTTGCTCCTTTTATTTTCATGCACATTAGCCCATTTTATATTAAACTTCAAAAAAACAAAAAAAAAACTGCATTTATATTAATGTATGATTGTGTATATTGCAGGCATGCATTTATAAATGTAGATGCAGAAAACTCTGTCAATGAATGTAATATGTGTTAAAACAAGGAATGAGAGTAGGGGATTTTGGCCTTTTCCAACTCATTTAAATTCTTACTAGTACATGGAATGACAAGGGAAAAGGATGGGTGACTTTGGCCTTCATTTCATATGAATTCCTATCAGAACATCGAATCATACCTTGGTGGATATATTGGATTTCGAAGTTCCCATGGGAAATGAATCATCAAGATGGAAAAATTCAATTAATCAATGAATTTTAGGACCTGTGTAAGAAAACATGAAATTGGGTTGGGACTCGCTAGAGTCTCGTGCCCAGTTAGGTCTAATAGACTCCAACCGAGTCCCAAAAAAGCCAGACTTGGGCGGTTGTGTGTGGTTCTGGGCTCAGCAGGGTGCCAAGACGGAGTGTCTTGGGCAAGTCCAAGTAGACTTGGTCGAGTTTTCCATCACTAGCTAGGAGATATCCATGTAAATAAATCAATAAAATAAAAAAATAGAAGATTCTTAGGAGCACATATGCAGATTTTTGCTGCTAGTTGACCCAAGCAATGGATTCAGAGCCTTCCTTCCATTCCTTCCACGGGCTGAGTGGTGGCACACTGCTACTCATCATTCAACGCCTAATTTTACACCACTTGAAATAGTTGACCCAATTGACCCAAGCAATGGATTCAGAGCTTTCCTTCCATTCCTTCCACAGTCTAAGTGGTGGCACACTGCGACTCATCATTCAACGACTAATATCACACCACTTGAAGTAGTCTGTGGCCAACAATCACCTTTGTGAATTTAGTCTATGTTCAACCACTTCCTAGCTTTGTAGATTCATTGGATTTGTAGTCTTCACATCATCATCATTATCATAAGAGCCTTTTCCAATTATTTGGGGTCGGTTACACGAATGCTAATCTGCCATTCTGCTCAGCGAGTCTTCACTATGTAGATTAAATCTTATATTTTGATGCATAAATACTAGTCCCCCATTCTGCTCAACGAGTCTTCACTATTTTGGATGCCTAATCAAATGAAACAGAGACTGACTAGAAACATAGGAAGAGGGTGTTTAGTCACTATGTAGATTGTTTTGGATGCATAATCAAATGAAACCGAGACTGACTAGAAACATAGGAAGATGGAGTTTAGTTGGTGATCTGATTTTCCTTTTGTTTCAGCCCTGCCACCTAATGTCCATGGTACATTAGTAACCCAAGGCCTAAAGAAGATAGCTCTAACATTTTGTGGACCTTATTGAGTTATTGAATGCATCCAGTGGCCTACAAATGCTTGCTGTGATGACAAATCATCAATTGATCCACAAATCATGCTTAAAGAGGAATTGGGGTTTTTGAGCAGTGATACTATCTGTCCGTCATACTTTTCTGGAGGAAACACATTTGTCAAACATGTAATAATATTAGATAATCGGGTGTGCAAGTTCTAACATTGTGGCATAGCTATGGTCCTAGTTCAGTGCACTGATGTGGAAATGGAAAATGCTATATGAATTTACTACACAAGCTTAAGGAATGGCGTTCCTATTCCAGCCTTGGATCATCCCATGCTTCTCTTGGAAGGTTGGCATGGTATGGCCCGTATTAGAAGGAATACTTGCTGATAAAATGATAATAGGAAGTAGACTTAGTATGTTTTGGGGTGTGTACAAGTAGGCCATGGTGTATTGGATAAGAAATCTTGTATCTCATTGTTAATATACCTTGAAGATTAAAAAGGAAAGGCAAATGGGTAACTTCAATGAACAATATGCTGCTTTTATCGTTTGCTACCTTCTACTGAAATTGTTTGTTTGGTTTTTGTTAGACAAGTGGGCATATTACATACAATGGTGAGTCGCTTAAGAACTTCTACCCAAGGAGGACTTCTGCATATGTAAGTCAGACTGACAATCATATTGGGGAGCTTACTGTTCGTGAAACACTGGATTTTGCTGCAAGATGCCAAGATTCTAGCGGCCAAACTGCAGGTTTGCTTTCTCTATCCTATCAAAATTTGCTATTGTATGGTGACAGGTAGTCTCTTTGGTTTAGTGTTGCTTCAAACGTGGAAAAAGAGGAGTTCGGGGGATCTGTTGTATAAGTTCCCTTCCCCCTCCCTCTCTCTCCTCTCTCTTTAATATGGTGTTTTTATTAGTAGATTGAGTGCACTAATTTCTTGTTACTTGAAATATGTGTTCCACATCTTTGTTTTTAAACCTTGATATTGGAGATTGCTTTTGTATGTAGCCATATATATCTACACACTCTTCCCTTCTCCCCCAGTCGCTGAAATGTAAATTTCCTTCTATAGGCACCATGCAAGAATGCGATCTTGACATTCCTAGATTATGTAAGATCAAACTGGTAACCTGAATTCACACCCTTCCATGGGGGTAAAACCACTTTACTATATGTCGAAACCTCTCGGTATCGTACATCAAATTTGAGGGCTTTGGACTAGAAGATTTCTAAAAAGGCTTTAGGATGGATTAGTTGATAGATCACCTCCTGTGTGTGAGACCTACTTTGGCATAGTCCTTAGAGTTGATGTTTCACCATGCTGTTGGCGTACTGCTCCCTATAACTAGGGGCTAGGAGCAAGGCAAATGCAAAAGGTTGCAAGACGTGGCTGTTAATTTATTGATCGTGTATAGTAGGTTGAGTTGTGTGCGTGTGTGCGTGCATGTGAGACTAATGCTTGGGAAGGAGAGTTAGAGGGAGAGTTAAATGTATTACATGTCACGTAGTGTGTATTTTTTATTAATTCAACTTTTATGACTTGCTTATTTGCTGGACTTTTTGGTGGATTATTCTGGTAAAATATTTGCAGCTAACTGTTCTCTATTGATAATGTATGCATTAAAGCGATATCTGATGCATTGCAAGTGGCACAATTGTTCTGAATGGCTTTAGATGTAAGCATTTATGTTACCATGGCTTCATTCAGCTTAGAAGAAAACACACTAAAGAATGCTTTGAATAATTCATTTTGACTAGTCTTTCTTTTTATGTCCCAAATAGATTTTAAGTGTTATAGCAGGGGTTTCAATGACTAGTAACCCTGTTCCGCCAATACATAGGATAAAATTGCAGAATCTTTGATGTACTTTAATACTTTGAACAATTCATTTTGACTAAGTCTTTCTTTTTATGTCCCGAATAGATTTAAGAGTTATAGCAGGGGTTTCAATGACTAGTAACCCTGTTCCACAAATAAATAAGATAAAATTGCAGAATCTTTGATGTACTTTACTGAGTGTTCTTGGAGCCACTGTTTTATGAGTAGACATTTCCTCACCCTGATGTTCCTTCCATTTATTTTTTATCTGGAGTATTCTCTTAAATTATTGTGTTTATTTGTAGGATACCTGAGTGATCTGACAAAACTCGAGAAGGAGAGGAAAATACGTCCAAGTCCCGCAATTGATGCTTTTATGAAGGTTACCATACTTATCTTGGCTGAGAGTGTATCATACATTTTTCTGCTTTTTATAGAATGAGTTTGCATCTTTTCTAAACTATAAATTGCCGCACACAGGCAGCTTCAGTTGGAGGAAAGCACTCCCTTGCAACTGACTATGTCATGAGAGTACTTGGCCTTGACGTCTGTGCAGATACCCTAGTAGGTAGTGACATGGACAGAGGTGTTTCTGGTGGTCAGAAGAAGAGAGTGACTACAGGTTCCTTCATGTGCCTTTGCTTTTTATCATGTTCCACTGACACTCTGTATTGTAAGAATTCCTAATGTAATTACAAAGTTCTTTGATCATGGATGCCACCAGGCAATGTGCTATAGAAAGTCTAATGAAATATTTTTGCTATCTTGCTTGTAACAATTCTATATTCTTAATTATTGTGAAGAATGATAGTAGCACGCCCATAAAAAAGAAATTAGAAAACCTTATCAGTGGATGTCATTCTCTACAGGCATCTTTCAAGGACATGGAAGAAACTTATTATTTATTAGTTTGTGACTCTTCCCAATTAATGTGTCACTAACCTTTAGAGTTTGACATGCATAAATATGCAGTTACATATGTGCATGCACAAATATGATATTTCTCAGGAGAAATCAAATAAACCTTCTGCAATATCATTTAGAAAAGTCTGTGTATGTATAACTGGTGCCTTTCACACAGTGAAAAGCTTCAAAAGTTGCATCTACGTATTTGATTGTTGATGTTATGTAGTGAGTTCTTTCTGACAATGTGACAAACTTATTATGCATTTCAGGGGAAATGGTGGTTGGACCAAGGAAAACACTCTTTATGGACGAAATATCTACGGGACTTGATAGTTCAACTACTTTCCAAATTGTTAAATGCCTTGGAAATTTTGTTCATCTCATGGAGGGAACTGTGTTAATCGCTCTTCTTCAGCCAGCTCCAGAGGCATATGAACTTTTTGATGATCTAATACTCTTATCTGAGGGACAAATTGTTTATCAAGGTCCTCGAGAATCTGTTCTGGAGTTCTTCGAGTCACTGGGATTTGTGATACCAGTTCGTAAGGGAGTTGCAGATTTTCTTCAAGAGGTTTTTATTTTTCTAAGATTACTTGTTGATACCCTTCGGCCTTATTTTCTTATTCTAATTTTTGTTTCTCACTTGGCTTATTACATTCCTTTCCGTTCTACTTCTCAGGTCACGTCTAGGAAAGATCAGGCCCAATATTGGGCTGACAACTCGAGGCCCTATGTTTTTGTTCCAACTTCAAAAATTGCAGAAGCATTCAGGGAATCTAAATATGGAAAGCTCGTCGAGTCCAATCTTGTGGTTCCTTTTAATAAAGAAAATGATAATCAATCAGCCCTAGCACGATCTAGATATGCTGTTTCAAAATGGGAGATTTTTAAGGCCTGCTTTTCCAGGGAACTACTTTTAATAAGTCGGCATCGCTTCTTATATATCTTCAGGACATGCCAAGTGAGTCCCTTCTTTATCTTTTCAAGATTTTGCATTTCCATACTTCAAATGTTAATATCCTTTAGTTGTTTCAGAATCTCTTTAGTAAGTCATCTATTTCTGTGAACCATGCCTAAAACAATTCTACTTGTTTGTAGTTATTCTGGATAAGTCTAATAACCAAACTCAAGGCACTTGACTAGCCACTAAGTTTTCATGGTAGTGGTTTTTGCTGATGTCATCTATGTTTACTCACCTATTTACTTGTTTGACCATCCTAAATCTGTTAAAGTATTGCAAGTGCACATGTAGTTAAAAAAATCAATATCATAAACTTCTAAAACGTACATGGTGTTGTGAAATTGCTTTCCTGCTCGGTGGTATCTTTTTGAGGAGTAGACATGTTACTTATGAGATATTCTTTTTCCACTATACTACTTTTCATGCTCGTGATATGCTTCATATCCTTTAGAAAATTTCTCAATATTTGAAACACTACCCCGATTGAGGATAAAATTCATCAATAAACAATGGAAGCTTTTTTTTGTTTTGAAGTTAGACGTAGTGGTGATATCATTTTTTTTATGCATCTCTACAGTGTATTATCTCAAGTGGTTGTTTTTATTTTGAACTACCTGATATAGAATTTTTTGCAGGTTGCATTTGTTGGACTTATCACATGTACGATGTTTTTAAGGACTAGGATACACCCCACTGATGAGATAAATGGGAATCTTTATCTATCTTGCTTGTTTTTTGGGCTTGTGCATATGATGTTCAATGGGTTTTCTGAGCTGCCCATATTGATAACACGGCTTCCTGTGTTCTATAAGCAGAGAGATAATTTGTTTTATCCTGCTTGGGCATTTTCGATTCCTAGTTGGATTCTGCGCGTACCTTACTCCATTGTTGAAGCACTTATATGGTCGTGTGTTGTGTATTATACAGTTGGATTTGCTCCTGAAGGTGGCAGGTATTCCTTTTTCAGCTTTTCCTGTTGGTATATTTTTTCTATTTCCTATAATATTTTATTTTGTTTCTCATTTCTTACAATGTATTTCAGGTTTTTCCGCTTCATGTTCATATTATTTTCAGTGCACCAGATGGCCCTTGGACTTTTCAGGACGATAGGTGCAATAGGGCGAGACATGGTGGTTACAAACACATACGGTTCTTTTGCACTTCTTATTGTGTTTTTGCTGGGGGGATTCATACTTCCAAGAGGTTAAAATGGCTGAATTTGAGTCTTTTCAGATATTATAGTGCCTTTCGGATGCATCCCATTCTTTCATGTGCTGATTTATGGTAGAAGTGTTGCATGACATGAATGAGTATGATCAACTCACTGTTTATCTTCCTAAGCTTTTGGCATCTTTTGATTTGAGATTATTGTGATGCAGATACCATAAAACCCTGGTGGATTTGGGCCTACTGGATATCTCCACTTTCATATGGACAAAATGCAATATCAGTAAATGAGTTCATCGCTCCTCGATGGATGAAGGTGTGCTATTATGTGGCTATCTCTAATTTCTCTTCGCGTTCTGTGCAATATGGATATCCCTTATATAACTCATATGAAATTAATCCTGTCAATCATTTTTTACTTACATCTTTGAGGCAGATTAATTAGTTATCTTATTCTCTTACTACATTTTGTGGCAGGAATCAACTTTTGGGAGTGATACAGTAGGACACAATGTCCTCAGATCCCATGGACTTCCTGTGAGGGGATACTGGTATTGGCTTGGTGTAGGGGTTTTACTGGCATACAGCGTGCTTTTCAATGTTTTATCAACATTAGCTCTGAAACACCTTAATGGTAGGTTCCCCAATGTTTGCCATATTTTTGTTACTGTAACTGTTCTGTGTGAATGATTATCCAAAAGATAATCTTCTATTCTTAGTAAACTTATGTACTTGAATTATGATAGTTGAACTCTTTTCTATCGAAATGCCTGGTAAACTTTTGATTGTTTCATGCTTGGATCTTCCTTCCAGCACTCAGGAACACTCAGGCAGTTATTCCTTCTGATGCCACAAAGGGAAGTAATGTTGAAAATGATCATTCCCACTCTACCCAAGAGCTTCCGGTCAAAGGTCTCATATTTATTTTGTATTTGGTTATAGTTTACTACCATAAACATTGGCAGTTTATCCAAAATATATTACTGTTCATTACAAGTTTCAGTTCCTGCTACATATAGTTTTGCTATGATGTTGACCCTGACAACCAATTTAACTACTGTAATAGTACCTCAGACGGCTTCGGTTTTAGGCACCAGCCCTGAAAGATCCACTGTAAACACTAATTCTAAGAATGGGATGATTCTTCCCTTCCAGCCATTATCAATGACGTTTCATAATGTGAATTATTTTGTCAATATGCCCAAGGTGAATCATGTACTTGGTTAATTTTTACTAGATTTAATTTTGTTTTCTTGTATCAAGGGTTTATTAACTTGTGGATCTTTGAAATTTTTAAGGAAATGCGTCGAGAAGGCGTTCCTGAAAAGAGGCTCCAACTTTTATCAAATGTGAGTGGGATATTTAGGCCCGGTGTCCTTACTGCTTTGGTTGGTTCAAGTGGAGCTGGGAAGACCACACTTATGGATGTCCTTGCTGGTAGGAAAACCGGTGGATATATTGAGGGAGATATTAGAATATCAGGTCATCCCAAAGAACAGAAGACATTCGCAAGAATTTCAGGATATGTCGAACAAAATGATATACACTCCCCTCAAATAACAGTAGAAGAATCCCTGTGGTACTCATCATGGTTACGCCTTCCAAAGGAAGTCACCCGAGAAAGACAACTTGTCAGTTTCCATCCTTATTTGTTTTATCCATTTGTCCATTTGTTGCTTTATGTTTCTCAAACAATATGAATTGCAGGAATTTGTTGAAGAAGTAATGAAATTGGTTGAACTTGACGCTCTAAGACATGCTCTGGTTGGTCTTCCTGGGAGTTCTGGTCTCTCAACTGAACAAAGGAAACGGCTTACTATTTCAGTGGAGCTTGTAGCTAATCCTTCAATTATCTTTATGGATGAACCCACATCTGGCTTAGATGCAAGAGCTGCAGCAATCGTGATGCGTACTGTTCGTAATACTGTTGATACTGGCAGAACTGTGGTTTGCACAATACATCAACCAAGTATTGATATATTTGAGTCATTTGATGAGGTTGATAAACACATTCGCTACTCCATGGAACTCTATGGGACTATTATTTTCAATTTTTTTAGTTTATTTATTTTTTATTGCCCGGATATAAACTTACTTTATTTTGTTCCAGCTCCTCCTTATGAAGAGAGGTGGACAAGTTATCTATGGAGGTCCACTTGGAGAGCACTCACAGTTGATGATAAAGTATTTCCAGGTACATTTTTTTATCTTCTGAAGTGGGATAAAATAGCTCTCATATTTCATGAGTCCTCAAAATGATGCAGCATAAAAGGTAGGATAGGCTGTTTTGTCATATTAATAATCAGGTTATTTCAAAAAATTAAATGGCCATTTTTCTTATTTAAAAAATTATAAACGATTATTTGGAATATCAATGCATCTCTAGGTTTCTGATCTTGAACTGTGGGGTTCATATATATTTTTACTTACAAAATGTAAGTTGAAAATTTTGAGCTGTCCTGGTCACAAATAAGCACACTACACTTACCATCTTCCAGGTTGAATCTAATATTACACTCCTAGGATAAGAGATTATGTCTCCCCTGCTGTTTATTAACACTTGTCACTGTATAAAGTATTCCATGGTTTGCTTGACAGTATTGTTAATGAACTATTTCTTCTTATTGCACAGTCAATTACTGGGATCCCTGCTATTCCCCATGGATACAATCCTGCAACATGGATGCTCGAGATCAGTACACAGGCTTGGGAGCAGAAGATAGGCCAGGACTTTGCATCAATTTATAGAAACTCTGATCAATACAGGTGAGGCTCTAAACCTTTTCTGATGGTGTTGATTTGATTTGGAACTTTATCCTAGCTAATTCTCAAGCTTAATCTCATTCTACTTATGCTATTTTCTTATTTGCAATTGAGTGCACTTTAAACCTTCATCTTCAGGGAAGTAGAGGGTCTGATTGAACATTTAAGTAGTCCTGTTGCTGGCTCAGAGCCCCTGAAGTTTGCTACCGAATTTCCACAAGACACTGCCACCCAATTTAAAGTATGCCTTTGGAAACAAAACCTGACATACTGGAGGAGTCCTCATTACAATGTTGTGCGGTTGTTCTTCTCCACAATATGCGCGTTGATATTTGGCTCTGTATTTTGGAATATTGGATCGAAGAGGTAATTCTAATGGCTGTTTAGCTAAGACTTTACAAACATTCGTGGTGATGCAAGAGACATACACACAGATCTCTCTATGACGCTCGGGGCACTGTTGTTCATGTGCATGTATGTGGTGTGGGTCTGTGTTTGTGCTTGTGTGCCTGTGTCTATGGTTCTCTATAGTCTGGTATTAAGGAGCTGTTTGCTGCATGAGTCCAAACATCTAGAGTTCGGTTGCTATGGTGCAGTAAGCAGCAAAGGCCTTCATCTATGTCTCTTAAATATTATGGCTTTTTTATGTACAATCCTCAACCATTGGTGACCTCGCATCAATCATTTGGCTTTCAAAAATCAAGGCTTGGAATTCTTATAATATCTGCCTTATAACAAGTACATATTACCGACGATGGTTGGGAAAAATCAGAGAACTTGGCTCCCTTTATTGTTCATGCCTTTACCATTCTAGGATCCTTTCCTTAGATATCTACAGGTGGCACACCTTACTTTGGCCGGAAAATTCACCTATGGTTGGTTGATTAAATGTCAAAGATGGCCACATAGTAGCCACATCTAAGATTTTACTTTTTGTTTCAGGGAAACAATCCAAGACTTATTCAATGTGATGGCGGCTCTTTATTCAGCTTGTTTGTTTCTTGGAGTGAACAATTCCTCATCAATACAACCAATTATATCCATGGAGAGAACTGTTTATTATAGAGAGAAGGCTAGTGGGATGTATTATCCTTTCCCATATGCAGCAGCACAGGCAAGAAATTTGACCATATTATATGTTTATGATTGTTAAGTTTTAAAATCAGTATTAAAACCATATCTGTTGCGATTGATAGGGTCTTGTGGAGATCCCGTACATTGCTGTTCAAACATTACTTTTCGGTGGCATTACATACTTCATGATAGGCTTTGAGAGAACACTAGGTAAGATATCCCTTATACATACCTTTGGGAGGAACCTCTCTTGTTTCTCTTATGAAATGAGATATTCTGCATGCTAAATTTGATTAAAATATAGATGATAAATTCATCTTATAGTAGTTGTTTGCTTGTCCCTGAAGATGGTGCAAAAAATATGGTGCTTGAAATGCTTTGTATCAGACATCCCTATGTCCTCTTGATGGATATTTAGTATAAGTCCAGCTATTAAGATGGTTTTGTTCACAAAGTCGGATATGCTACAAAGAAATGTATTGGAAGTAGTTATAAATTAATTATCTAACTATTTGTGCTGATGTTTATAGCCATTTGCTTGCTTTTGGCTTCCTGTTCTTTTAAGCAAGTTAACCCCTAAGCAGTAGCATTTAATGAATCCATCACTTCTTGCTATCTGATGCTTACTTGATGTTAATATCTTGATGTTAATATCGACTTCATGTCTGGATGTCTCTATGTACTATCTACTACTAAGCATTTTTTGTGTTACAGAAATTCTTCTCTACTTTTTATTCAAAAAAGAAGACGAAGAAATTTTCCTCTACTGGATAGGGGGGAGTTCGGGGTTGTTACTCTATGTTTAATTTGTCGGTGTCCTATACATACTTATTTTTCAATATATATTATTTTTAAACTGTTCATGTTTGGTGTCCTACACTTATTGACACTTATTGAAGGTGTCTGATATAGCAACCCTAAATTATGACATGAGGACCACATGACTGTTTACAAATGCACAAATAAGCAAGATTAAAAATATTGAAATATTAAGACTTCAAAATTTTGTTTTCTTGAATATATAAGGGGTTTAGTGAGAACTAAAAATGAAAAGATTAATACATTGAAGGATGTATTTAAGATATATATCACATTACTTATGGCCAAGTGATTGGTCTAATAAGGGTGAGGACTTTAAACATTTGTGGGTTGCATTAGGTAGGCAATCAGCATAAAACTTAGACACATCTTAGCGTGAATCCTGAACCTATTGAAGAATGAAGGAACAAGATTCATGTACCCAACCCAAAATCATTAGGATAAGACTTGAATGCTGGTGATGATGATGATGACTTATGGCGAAGTGATACATGTACAATAAAGTATAGAGGGCCCTAACCCCGTTATGGTCCTGCTTGCGCAGGATTCCGGGAGGGAAAGACTAGATACGATCCTAACCTTTGGCATTTTTTCATAAAGCAGCTGCTCTCAGAGTTTAAACCCGCGTTTTCACACTGTCAGCCCGAGCCTTTTACCATCGCACCAGGCGACGGCCCCAAATGTACAATAAAGTATATATTCATAAAACGTTGGCTGAAACCTAGCTAACCGACCCAACTTTCAGTTCATGTGGTCTATAAAAATATATAGCTGGAGTTCCGTAACAATATACTGTATAAGCTTCTCTAATATTAAACCTCATTTCGGTGTATAACTTAATGAAATGGTTATTACGATTTATATTGTTGTCCTGATTTTTACTTTAAATTTTTTGATTCATTACCAAAGAGGATCCTTAATACAGCTTGTTGGTTTTACAGTGAAGTTCTTGCTCTACATGTTGTTCATGTTCCTCACTTTCTCCTACTTCGCGTTCTATGGAATGATGGCAGTTGGTTTGACATCCTCTCAGCACCTTTCGGCTGTTGTCTCTTCTGCATTCTACTCATTATGGAATCTTCTCTCTGGTTTCCTCGTCCCAAAACCAGTAAGTGACATCTTCATCTTTGGTACTTCTTTAGCTTAGCTAATGGACACTAAAATTTGACTCTTGCCTAGTTTATTTAACAAAAGGGATCGTATACTATAAGGCTGTTACGTTTGGTGCAATAAGGCTTCAATCATCCCTAGCCATTGGATTTGAAATAGCGCAGGTGGCATTTGAACAGGAACCCTGCCAGTTGTCTTAACCTCTAAACATTTGTATGTTAGTAATTAGGCCTAAGACTATGAACTGTCTTAAAGAAATGGAGTAACAGAAAGAAAGAACGTGTTCTTTGTCTCGACTATTGTGAAATGCTTTGTGAAATGTTTCATGACAATCTCTCTCTCAGATGATCCCTGGCTGGTGGATCTGGTTCTACTACATATGCCCGGTAGCCTGGACCCTACAAGGGATCATCACTTCCCAATTGGGTGATGTGGACACTAGGGTGGTGGGACCAGGCTTCGATGGAACAGTGAAAGAATATCTCGAGGTATCTTTGGGCTACGACACTAGCATGACGGGTATCAGTGTGGTTGTGCTCTTGGCGTTCATCTTGTTCTTTTTCTCCATATTTGCAGCTTCGATCAAGTTCTTGAATTTTCAGAAGAGATGAGATGAGATGAGATGAGATGAGACAAGATAACTTTTTTTTCTTTTTAGTTCGAATGGGCTCAAGGCTAGGCGGTTAGGGTTTTATTCTTTTTAGTTCAAATGGGCTCAAGGCTAGGCGGTTCGGGTTGTAGTGCGGCACCAACAGGAAGTCTTTGAGTTCTATTTCTACCATGACTAAAAGACCCCCGCTGATTTTCTCTTACGTTTTTGCTCCTACTCAAGATATTGGGGGTACACGAGAGTTATGCTTTGTCTTTACTTTCCTATTCCAAGTTTCTGTTTGTAAATTCATTTTTTTTTGTTTTTTTGTGATCGCAAGTTGGTGCCTTGATTTTTATTCTCTTTAGTTTTTTGCTCCCTTTTATGTTTCATAGACACGGTAATGTGTATTATTGTTGGACATAGATAAAGCGTCCAAAACGCTATAAACCACCCTTCTTTCCTTCAAAAAAAGCGAGAGGTGGCTTTGTGTGCTTTTTATTGAGATTTTGAGATGAAAGGTTAAGAAGAAGTTTCTTTAGTTGTCAAAAATATCAGACCCAAGTGTCCTTGCTGTGTTGTACCACGTAAAAAAAAAAAAACCTGTAGACTCCACCCCTCCCTATGCTACATTGGTGACCTTTTTCCTTTCCAGAATCCAGACTCTAAATCACTCTGTAGATTTAACAATCATATGGACCCCTTTGAGAAGAAGCTAGCGATGGGAATGGACTCAGACCTGACCTAGTAATCGACGGGTAGACGCAATCTCAGTCTAGGTATGAGTTTAAAAATAAGACCCGGTGGATCGGATCTGGGTCCAAATCTTGGACCTGAACACTACTCAGGTAATATTTTTTGGTTCCCAATACATTAAATAGAGAATTGATCCTATAGGACTTTCCTCCACCCATGTGTATAGGACCCTAAAAGATCACCATGAAATTTGTCACGTATCCATAGAAAAGTCAAGTTCATACTCATGTAATAACTTTTATAGAGATTCATGTCAACTTTAATAGTGATCTTTTGCGGTCTTACACACATTGGTAGGGGAAGGTCCTATAGGATCATTACTCTATTAAATATTGTTATATACATAGATATTTTAATTTTTGGGTCAGGTCTGTTCTTGGTCCCACACTATATTTTTGGGTCTGGCCCTGACCCATTGACACCCCTAGAAGATTTACTTTAGATTGGTTATCAAAAAGAAAAAGATTCCAATGAGCTAGGGGTAGTTCGAATCCAAAATTTTCATAACTATAATATTAGAATATACGTCTATAGCCCATACCTCTTTGTCTTAGTTATAGATGATTTAACTAGGCATTTACATAATGAAGTACCGTGGTGCATGTTGTTCGCAAATGATATAATTTTGATTGATGAGACTTGAAACAATGTCAACACAAAGTTAGAATTTTTGAGAGATGCTTTAAAATCCAAAGGTTTTAAAATTATTCGGACTAACAGACTATATGGTGTGCAAATTTAGTAACAATAGGAGTAGATACGAGCAAGTAGTTAAGATTGATAGTCAAGTAGTACAAAAAAGATCGTACTTTCGATATCTTGGGTCGATAATCTAGGAAAATGGAGAGATCGAAGACGATGTCACACACGGAATTAGAGTTGGGTGGGCAAAGTGAAGTTGTACAACTAAAATTTTATGTGAACGCCGCATATCAATGAGGCTGAAGGGAAAGTTCTATAGGACAATAGTGAGACCAGCTTTACTCTATGAGGTGGAATGTTGGGTGGACAAAAAACAATATACTCAGAATGAGTGTAGTGGATCTATGGAGCAGAATATTGGGCGGATAAAAAAATATATACTCATAGAATGAGTGTAACAGATATGAGGATATTGAGATGGATGAGTGACAAAGAAAGAAGAAATAGAATTCGCAATGAATCTATTCAAGAGAATTTAAATGTGGCACCAATAGAGGATAAAATGAGAGATAATAGACTTAGGTAGGTGGGACCAAGTACATCACATGTTAGGATGTGGGAATTAGTTCAAGTGGAAAGACTGAAAAGGATAAAAAGTATGCCCAAAAGAACATGGTTGGAAGTAGTCCGAAAAAATATGAGGACTTATGGCCTCACCGAGAATATGGTCTTTAATAGAGGATAATGGAGAATGGAGAACCGTGATTCATATAACCGATCTCAATTAATTGGAAAAAAGCTAAAATGATGATGATGATTATAGCATTAGAATATAAATAAAACAAAATACAATAGTAGACTAATCTGCTATTAACAAAGTTCAAGATTGGAAAATTGATTTTTATTCAAAATTTCTAATTTTTAGATGAATACACATAATTCAGCCCAAAAAATCTATCTAGCCTGATGACGTATACTATTCCATAAGCCCATCGGCTTATAGAATATTCAAGGGAGTCCAATTATCTTAAGCCATTAACCAATTTCTTCATTGGAGATTTATGTCCTTACCCCTCTCTTGAATGACAAATGTCAGTTGGTGTTGTCATTAACAGTGAGCAAAAGCAATGTGGGTTTTGCGAAAAAAATCATTTGCATACCCATCTGGTGACAAATGTGCTTCAGATGAATCAGCTGTGCAAATTGTAAAATGGAAGTTAAGAGAGTGTGTGTGTCTATGCTCATAGTGCGAAAATGAATTTATCAAATATTTTATGAAAAAATGACTAGCCCATAGCTACCTTATTCCCAGTGTCATAGCTCGGAGCAACGGTAACTCTTTTGTTTTTGTTTTTTTTTATTTTTTATTTAGAAAAAAAAAAAGAAACTAGAGGTAATTAGTCTTGGAGTATACAAATCCTTTAGAGAAGCCATCTAGGTTTGCAAAAGGAGAGGTCAAATCCTAAAAAGAAAAAAAGGTTTTGAAACATAATTCCCATAAAAAAAATTAAAAAAGGAGAGAAAGAAACAATGCTAATTGGCATCAAAGTTGCTCGAAAAAAACTAAAAATAAAATAAAAAGAAATTCATTAAAATACACCTAAATTTTCATCAATTTAACACTTCACCCTTTCTGAACTATTCCAATGGACATATGTAATTTGAAAGCTGTTTTCAAATTAAATAAAAAATCCAGGTAAAATGTTAAACAGTTAATCTCAGTTGATCTTTTACATGTATTCTAAAAAATTTCCCACGACAAAGGTCAAAGCCATCTTAAATGCAATATAAGGTCACTGAATCCTCCCTAACCTTTAGTTTGCCATTAACTCCATTCAATTAAGAATTTCTCGAACTGGAATTTTAAAATCCTATCATTAAAAATAATTATAATTTTTTCAAACAAATTACTACATTTTTGAGTCCTTAAGACTTGGGACATCCTCTTTTCAAATTTAAGACATTATAATTCGGTCATACAGAGCATGTGAAATTTCTCCCTGAGGTTGCTTGGTAGTTTAATGAGGTTACTCCCCTGAATTTGGGGTCCTAAAAACACTATCAAGTAAGGCTTACCCTCAGGGAGTGAATAGGCTTAATTAATTCTTGAAGCCAGATGGAGAAGAAACAGCAAAGCAGTTGTGAATCAATATCATTGTCAACTCTCTCTCTCTCTCTCTCTCTCTCTCTCTCAGACATCCTGAAAGGAAAGGAATTCATAGGAAAGCATGTTGGGTAGCACAAAAGTTGGACGTATTAAGGGTAGTATATACATATATTAACAAACATGTCAATGAAAGCAACTTTGGAGATGTACCATAGCGTATATACATCACCTTCAAACCTTGTCAAGTGACCTAAATGTAATTTTGCACAAACGAGCTGAAGTTCACTGTGGCAAAACGTGACCAGACCCAAAATTTCCAAATGTGGCTTCTTTCTATTTCTCTTGAAGGGTAAGGATAACTTAGTTCAGTGGATTAGAAGAAACCACAGTCCATTGAGTCATAAAATGGTGGGTAGAGAGAGAGAGAGAGAGAGAGAGGAACATACCAGAACAGAACATGACACAACATACTAGTACAGAACATGACCCACCAAGGGGTGGGACCCTCACCATCATCATCCACCATTTCATCACAAGCACCTCAAAGGTGTTAAACTCAATGGACTATGATTTTCCATGACCCCACATACTGTAACCTACTTTCCCTATAAAGCAACAAAATTTCGCCCCTGTAATTTGTTATGGTTATCTAATTTTCCACATTGTACTTCGTCACAAAGCACCTTACTTTTTCGACTTCGACTTTGAGCTCGGTGGGCAATGTAATACTTTGTAACAAGCACCTGGCTTCTGCTTGCTTTTGTCATTCAGGTCGAGACCACTAACATCATCTCCCTCGTCGCTTTCATCATCTAGTTTCGCTCTCTTTGATTTCTTCTCTTGTTTATTGCAAATTGAGACCCTGTAATTCCTTTCCCCTTGTTCCTCCGAAGGCTCAAGCTGCTCCTTGGGTCTCCAAATGAAGAGAGATCTGAGGGATGCCAAAATAACAAACTGATTGTATCAGAATTGAAAGCTCTCTCACAGGTTAACACGTCCAAAGGCTCCTTATTTGCAGAGAAAAAGCAATTAAAGAGAATGGTAGTTTCGGTACCAAAGCAATCATGCACGTGATATGTACTTATAGAGAGAGAGGGGGAGATAATGCACAAGCACGCATTCAGGATATAATAGATAAACAAATAAAAGTATATTATTTTATTTGTTATCACCCATGGCGCAAGTTTTCACCTGTTATATAGTCTACCAAGGGAATGAGAGAATAATTAACCAATTCAGTGTAAAGGGTTCTTATTTTAATACAGGAATAAAGGTTGAGATTAATATTTTCTCAGAAACAAAAAGAAAATGAGAAGAAACTACAGTTTATAAATTTAAAACTTTAGTCCGATGATGAATTGATGGTTGGACCCAGTGTACAAGAACCAGGACACAGGTAGGAACCAGCAATCCCAACTCACAAGGTCAGACTCATCCGTCATAAAGAAGCAGGAGACCGGGGGCCATTCCTAGGCTTTGCCTCCAGAATCACCAGGGTCTCAAATCGGCGTGGCAACTTTTCTAATCACTGGCTGGACCTATGATAAGTTGATAATAACTGTGAATTGGGCTCATAGTGACAATTCTCACTCTCCATAAACTTTTGGCCAAAGTAGTTTCTACCAAAATTTTAAAAATTGATGTTGGTCCGATCAAAATATCAGAAAAAAACAATAAATTGTCCAGGCCAGGAACATATGAAGATTTCATCTGATGAAGCATAAACTGAAGATAGTTACAAGTACAAACCTTGAGCTACCGGTGGCCAAGACATCATCTCGAGGGTGCAGTTTATTCACAGGGCTGATGGTTTTAATGTTGGGTTCAATAACTTCAGCAACCAGTCTCCCTGTACTAGTGTCAATGAAATCAATTGGATGTAGTGCAACTCCATCGTAGTTCTCGCTTATGTATCTCCCAATAACTGCAAGGGATTCAGATGGATCCTGCAGAATGCAAAAACATGTAAAATGCTAAGCATACGGGAATAATTTTTTCAATCAATAACTTGGGAGATGCTTCAAGATATATATTTCTCACACACGCACAGTACTTCAATATTTAATCTCCATAAAGAGCAGCAAGAAGCGTACCATAATATTATAACAAGTAACTTCCAAACAATAACTTTAAATGCTAGAAAATCTTATCAGAGAGAGAGAGAGTGAGAGACTTCAAATTTTTATTGGAAAGAATATTTCAACATTTACTCTCCACATAAAGGAAAAAAGCGCACCTTTGGATCCCACTCAGCTCGGAAACAGGTAAGATGCCGGTTGAAATCATGACTATGAATGATCTCCCGGCTTGGTGATTCTATATTGCCAAAGATGGAATCCCATACACGAATACGGTTGTCTTGAGAAGTCGTGAGGATTTTGGTGCCAGTCAAAGGAGAAAAATAGGCAGAATTCACAACTCGACTGTGAGGGAGATTTCCAAGGGAGTCACCAGCATCTATTCGTCGGAGATCCCATAGACGTGCCTGCATTCAAAAACAATTTTCTAGAATTTCTAAAAGGTTTTCACCCAAAAACTATCATAATTACACCATTCTCTCAATTAAAAATTGATCAATATTATAAAATTTGCATTGATTTAATTCAATGCATTACCATATGCCTTTATTCTTCTTGACATGGATTGGTAACACCATACATAATTGTGCTGCATTAGAGAACTGTAATCATTTGTTGGTGACAAATTAACTATAAATGAACTTCAATTAATGATGCAACAACGCACAGACATACTCATACGCACAAGACATACATCATGGGATGCCAAAATATGTCAAACTATATTGTCACCAGTGTTGCACAGACAACAACACAAGTCTCGAGTCTAACAAGTGTCTAGAGTGTCTAGTTCTTCATCCAAAAAACCAGTGTCTAGAGTGTCTAGTTCTTCATCCAAAAAACCCAACACCGCAAGACATGACAGAGCAAATATTTTTTACATCAATAAATATGTTCATAAAACAAAATCAGTTGTGTGGAGAGTTTAACTGTAGAATTTATCACTCTCATGGTCAATGTCCCAAGTGCAAGCTCCTGGAAGCATGTTTTGATACCAAATAACAGTACTTATACTGTTTAGTAAAAAGTTTGAACACCTTCCTTATGCACACCCCTGTGACTTGGAAGAATGGTAGACATTACACTCATTTCCTAAGAGGACATGGGTTCTAACCTACTGGCCTCACTCAAATAACAATTTTTATCCTCACCCATTTTCACCAGTGTCTCATGACACATGTCGAACTGTCGACATATGTACAGGACACAAGAGGGTGATTGCAGCCTAGGTAACACTGATTCATTCAAGCAGCATCGCATTGCTGTATGGATAGATGGCAGCAAGTTTGCGTGCATATCTATACCACTTAAAGAACAAGCACATCATACACCTTAACACTCTCCTTTCCTGATAGTTATACATTTCAATAAACAAACAAAGATGCAAAACACCACTTATATAAAGGTAAGGTTTTGGTGCATAGTACATCCATCTTTCCAAAATCCATCTTGGAGATGGATGGAGTGAGGTTCAAAACTTCACAAGTCTATCATCTTGACCACCACAATTATGAAACTGACCCAAAAAAATAAAAAGAATTTTAAGCACAAAAAAAGGTCCATCTTGTTCTTTTACTTCTTCAAAGGTCATCAGACATGCACTATTTTTTAGCTCCAAATTCATGGGGCAGAAATGAATTTCCAGACATTTGGGACCTGTTTTGCGTCCTAAAAACCCAAAAAAACAGGGCAGACACGATCAGTGGATTCACCATAATATTTCTTTATAGTTTAGAGTCCAAGTCCCATCATTTAATCCTGTAGATATACAGTGAGCGTGGAAACATATCAATAAGCCTACAAATATACAGCTGCAAAATCTCATAAAACCAACCCAATCACTAAAACAGAGTGCTACAGTGAAAATGGCAAATTGTGTATATTACTAAAGAATTTGTATCAATATTACTAGGGTAAAATCAAATTCTGTAAATAAGTTTAACACCTTAAGTATAGGCAACGCACAAAGTGATCATTCCCAAACCTTTATATAACCTAAGTCCAGAGATTATTCACCACAGTAAAACCTCAATTCAAAACTGTAGTAAAACACCATGACAGAGCTTGTTGATTATCAAATAAAAGATGCTTCATATGTAATGGAGGGTCCTCCATGCACAAGTAAATTGAAAACAATCCACAGATGCATTACTCAACTGCCAGATGTGTATGCACACATGTATGTCTGCATATGTGCATGAACTTATTTCAAATAATACAAACAGATCTGCATCAAATGACTGTAAACTGTAATGCAAAGTGTTGGACTGACAAATTTATAGATTTTATTTATTAGTTTATAGCAGTTAGTTTTCTCAATAATCTTTGAATATTTTCTTGAGGCCACAACCAATATTCTATAATACAAATAGATTTGTAACGAAAACCACAGATATTTTACAAATGCTGATTTTAAAAGAGATATGCATATAACATCATAAATAATAGAAGATTTTTTTTTTGGGGGGAAAGAAAGATAGGAAATAATAAAAAGATATATTAAATCACAAATTTAACCAAGAATGTAGAATGGCATTGAAATTGTGGCTCACAGTCCAAGATACTCACAAAGTGATCATTTCCACAACTTAGTAGAAGCTCGGGCTGAAGAGGATTGCAGTGAAGGCCGACAACCTTGGTACCCTTTTTGTGAATAAGAACTGGCTCTCTTATTCTCTTGTTGGAGCGCATATCCACCCTAAGGAGTCATTGGCAAATAGTGAAACTATTAAACAGGTTCAAGATGCACTCATCCAGCCTAATATAATCAAACTACACCATACGACATGGAGAAATTCGACATATGAAACCATGGCTGCTCAATTCCCACATTATTCCAAAAGTAACATAAAAACATTCTCCAAAACAATTACAAACAAAAGCTTTTCTCAAAATTTGAAATTCTTTATAATCAATCAGATGGTTGAGGAATACATAACATAGTAAGACAGCACCAAAGTTAGCTTTGATTTAGGTGGCTCCTAACAACAACAGATTTCTTATTCCAAATGCCTATCTTCTCTCATATTTTCTTCTCAATGGATTTCACCGGTGGTTTAAAAAACAAATCGGTGCCCCGGATCGGATACCCCAAAAACCCAGCTGGATTGGTGAATCGGCATTTCGGATCGAGAATAGGCCGAATCGGTCGTATTCGGCCTTAAAAAAAATCCAAAAAAATTATTAAAAAAAACATTATAAACGTTGTTTTTTATAGAAAGTGAAATTAGTATCAAATCAAACATTTATTAATTCTCTTTACTCGTCCACAATTATCACAACCTAACTAACAATAATATTATACATTGAAATTGAGATTATTGGTTTATACTTTATAATAATTTTACTATTCAAATAAGAATATATTTGAAATTTGTCTTGTAATATCATCAAATTTTAAAAACTAATTTACAACTATAACAAAAGATACTAAATTATATAATTTATAATTAAAATATATTAATAAATAACATATAAGATTTGATTATCAATGTAATTAGTATAATCATTAATTATAATATTATACTAAACGTGATTCAAAAAACAAGATGGCTCTTGTATGTATATTTTGAATTGCTTGTATAGTTTTTATAATAAACATAATTTATTATAAAAGGCTCGCTCTATTAAATAACTATTTTTATAATAAACATAATTATTAAAATACTTTTGTTTTGTTAATTTAATAAACATTTTTTATAATAAACTGAATTCTATAAGAGCTAATGGTTACACGCTAATAGGTTTGCAGGACCATGAGTTAACAGTTTGCACGCTAATAGGTGCAGGACCATGTGTTAACAGTTTGCAGGCAATAGATTTGTTCTCAAGCTGCTACAGTAGGAATTGTCTCACATAAAAAACTTCAAGGGGATTTCACATCTATAAAACACCTGAGGACCAGCGTATTTGTTGGTGACAAATGAATGGGACATGGGGCCACGTAATTGTGTGTGTGGTGACATCAGCTCAGCATGGTAAAGTTCTCTTATTTTGAAAAAAATATATCCCAATTACCCTTGCAAAAAATTGAAAACAAATGTTCTATTGAGACATGGTGACGTGTCCGGTTTTTTAGCGAAACTCGTTGATATATGACATCATACTGTGTAGAAACGCCGAGTCATGACATCACCTACCGATTCCATACATTGACTCAGGCAGTTCACTATAGAGAATCGCCGGTTCTTCTCTAGAACTGGGCGATGCAACATTTTTTACTGGAATCGACACGGGGTAACCGATTCCCGTGTAGACTTGCCTGAGTCCGTGCTGACTCAACAATTTTTAAACCATTGGATTTCACAGACACTATTTATTTTTCCGACACATACAGCAAGCCCAAACAATTAGAAGGGGTTACACTTTGCAACCTAGCCTCTCTCTCCTCTCCTCCAACTGGGTCCCCAAAATTCGAATACCTGCGACTGAAATTTTCCCCAAAAATGCCAAGCCAGCAAAAGGTAGAGTCATGGAATCTCATAATCATCCCCAATTTCTTCTAATGAAAAAGGGATTTTCAAAGGCTAAGGAAAATACATTGGCAAAAGTTTTGGTGCAAGTTAGTGAACCGAAATTTACACATATATATGAATAGACAATAATGTTCATTTGGTAGTAATTCTTCTCAATAACATTGTTAATATGAAAAAGGTTGTTAAACATGCATTCAATCCATTTACAGGATAGATTTTAAATCTTCATAACCTCAGATCTGCAGGATAGTCATAAAACTCATACTAAACTTGTGCATAACAAACTACACATTCTGAATGCGAACACAAAAGGAAGTAGGTGCTACTGGAACAATAAATGAACTATCAATACAAAGGAAAACACAAGCTAGAGGATATGTTCTTACAGGTAAAGAAATCCAAAGTTATCTGCCACGAGCACAAGGCTTTTACTTGAACTAATATCCATGCCATACAGCATTCGCCAATTTGCAGGGCCCTGATAAAGATTATAAAGATAACTCAGACTTCACCCCCCAAACAATGAGATGTGTGCAATTACCCACAGACTGATATCTCAAACTTAAACCCGATTACAGAGCGTGCACACGGGCGTGCGCACACACAGAAGGAGGAGGGGAGGAGGGGGGGAGGAAGGGAGGGAGGGTGATAAAGCAACTACATTGATAAGAATATTACATTCCAGCCATCTGGATTGAGATTCATCAATAAATTGGGAGTCCCAATTTCAAGATCAGTGTAGCATATTGTTCCATCAGAAGACGCTGTATACAAGCTCCCATCATTCACAGGATTAAACCTACAGAATTCAACAGGAAATATACAACCATAAGACTTTTATAAAGTTTTGCATGAAAAAGGAATGCCACAAAGTTCCTACAAGTGCACTTACTTCATGCTGTTTAGTATGCAAGAATGAATTGATCCATAGACGGTCTTTTCATACACTTTGTTGTAATCCCATATTCCAAGTTGCCCTTTCTACTTAAACAAAAAAAAAGAGAGAGAATCATATTGATGCCCACTAAAACCCAAGAGTGGTTTATCCCTAAATCATCACATATCACATCGAAAGACTCAAAAAAATAGAACAAGGATAATCCACACATAATACCTTATCACCCGATAAAAGAATACTGTTATTAGTGGGATGAAACTCTAAGGATGTCACCCTCCTGCTATGCAATCTAATGATGGCACAGTCCACTTGGTCTGGTATCACAAACCCTGGTTTTATCTGAAACAATTACAAGATAATCATGCTTATTTCACCTTTTTTAAAATTCTTATTTCACGCTAACAATTACAAAATAACCAATGCTTATTTCGCATTAACATAATGACATAGTTATTTATTTTATTCAAGGTGTAAACTCTTCCATGGGTTCTCTAATGAAGTTATCATGGAAAGGTGCCCAAGAATAAGACTTTTCTACTTACCCAAAAAATGAGAATTTTCTGCCTAAGACTAAAACCCAGTAACAAATTCGTATAACAGTACATTGCAGTGAAAATAATGTCATATTATAATTCTCCATCAAATGATATTGATTTCGAATCAAGCAAAAGAATGAGAAATATTCCAAACATAAGGAGACATAATTACAATTGAATTAAAGGCAACTAAATACAAACCAAAGCCACATGGGTTCAAGGTCCAAAAACCAATATAACCAACCAGGCAACACAACATAAAGAGAACAAAAAAAACAATTTCTTAAGTCAAATAAAAGTGGAAAAAGATGCAACAACAAATAAACCAAACCCAGAAGAATTTGATATTCGCATCCTAGTTTACCAACCCAGAAATAAAGCATGGGGAAACATACAAAAGGAGAGCAAAGAATTTCAGGGATCCTTCGGATAGCATACCATTGGAACATTAGCTCTTAATTGACGCTCAAAAAGGTAATCAAGTGAGCCGCGAAACTCTCGACGATGGGCAGGAACAACACCATGCTCTGTAGCCACGCGATGCGGACAATTCATAGTAGTATGCCCTAAAACCAGAAGCAAAGAGAAACAATTTGAAAAACGGATTTGAACATAAATACTCAACAATATCAATACAAATAATACACTCAAAAACTACCAATGTGAACCATCAAGATGTAAAAATAACTCAAGCTTCATTCAAATAAACCCAATGTGGGCAAGTCATAGTGGTGTGCCCTAAAAATCCAAAAAGAAGAAAAAGCCTTCGAAATAATAATTAAAATATAATACTCAGGAATACCAATGTGAACCATAAAAAAGTAAATAATAAATGACGCTACATTCAAATAATACAGAGAAAACACTCAACAGTACCAATGTGACTCGTCAAGAAGTAAAAATAAATGAATGAAGCTACATTCAAATAATAAAGAAAAAATACTCAGTAAAAATAAATGAATAAAACTACATTAAGTAATACAGAGAAAAAAAACTCAAATGGAGCTATACTCAAATAATACAGGGAAAAACATTATTCCAGAAACTATCATACCCGGTTGTTTACAGAGAAAGCACGGCTTCTTAGGGCAATCGATGTAAGTGGCACCTTTGAATCCGGCTTCATGGCCAGTCCCTTTGCAAACCTAATTTTTTTCAAAGGCCATCAATTGAATCACGACATATGTAGAAAACGACCGGCACAAAATTCCACTAGAAAGAAAAGAAACCCAATAAAAGTGGGCAGAAAAAACTAGAAATGCGTACCTTGCAAACTCTCTTGAGACTAATGGTGATGGGAGCTTTCTTCTTGTTATTGACTGGTTGGGTAGGTGGGGTTAACGGTTCTTCTTCATGGTCTTCTTCTTCATCTTCAGAGCTCTCCTCTGTTTCCGACTCTACCTCGATTGCAACTCTGGGGAACAGTACTCTCCTGCTTCGCCGATTCATTGTCCGGTTGAAGATGAAGTGAGAGAAAACGGAGGATGAACCGGTTAGAGAGAGAAAATGGAGGGTCAGAAGAATGTTAGAGAGAGAAAATGGAGATGAGAAGAAGGCTAGAGAGAGAAAATCGGATAGGAGAAGTTTGTTAGGACGGAGAGTAGAAAGAGAGCAAAAAGGCCATGTCTTTGAAAGAGCCAAGACCGATCGAATTCTTGAGAGAGATTCAACTGCTCAAGGAAAGATGAGAGAGAGAGACGTGTGTGTGGAAGAGGAAAGGAACTTTAGAGAGAGAAAGAGGCAGAAACAAAATTTCAGAGGCAGAGAGATGAACGGACTTAGAGAGATGAATGGACTGAGAGAGAGAGAGAGAGAGGCAGAGAGATTAATGGACTTAGAGAGAGAGAGAGAGGCAGAGAGATTAATGGACTTAGAGAGAGAGAGGATTAATGGAGAGAGGGAGCGCGAGAGCAAGAAATGGCACCGGAGGGTAAGAGAGCACAGACCT